AGAAGAGGGATGGCGGAGCTGCTGGCGGTAGCGAGGCTAGGCGTGCCGCACCAGATGATTGAAGAAGCACTTGGGGAGGGGCCTCGTCTAGCCGAGGGTGGTGCACAGCATAGGGGCACGTCTAGTACCAAGGATTCCTTTATCACGCACAGCAGAGGGGCACGTCCAATACCAAGGATGCTTGTTCAATCGGCTTGGGGAAGGGCCTCGTCTAGTAGCGGGTGGTTCACAGCAGGAAAGCACGTTTAGTAAATACCAAGGATGCCTTACTGATCAACTTGGGGAGGAGCGTCGTCTAGCAGAGGGTGGTGCACAGCAGAGGAGCATGTCTTTCTAGCACCGAGGGTGCCATTCGAATCAGCTATGGGGGGCGCCTCGTCTAGCAGAGGATGATGCACAGCTGAGGGGCACTAGATATACAACCGAACAAATGATCAAATAACGTATAATTTAAGACATCTGGGCCCGCTTCCCGGAAGTTTCTTAAAGCAAGCCTGGGCCAACTTCTATGGTTAACGCTGGAGGGCGAACGTGCGCAAGACACTGGGCCAGCTCTGCGGCAAGCTGGTTAAGCAACGCTGGCCGAGCTTCTCGGGGAAGATTTCTGAATCGGATGCTCGACCGTAGTACCAACGACACTTGCTTACCCTGAGGGGGGGTCCAGGGACCACCAAAACCTCCCCCTGGGGGGGGGGGGGGGGGGGGGGCGCCTGGGGGGAAATCCTCCTGACTCCCCTTTAGCCTCTCAAAAAACTCTTCTGAGGGGGTGGTCCGGGGGGAATAAATAATCTACAACCCCCCAGCCCCGCCAAAACCGCACCTGAGCTGGGGAGGAAAAGCCTCCAAACCCCTCCAAGCCCTCCCAAACCCTCTCCTCTGAGGGGGTCTTGGGGAAAAACCCAAACCCCCCAACCCTCCCAAACACCCCTCTGATAGGGGGGTTCTGGGTGGTGGAAACACCCCCCAACCACAAAAAAAACTGAAGTGATGTTCTGGGGCAGAACAGAGCCTGACCTCCCCCTACCTGCCCCGAAAACGGTCCGGCGGGAAACCGCCAGGAAAATGGTCCGGCAGGAAAGCGCCCCTAACTCTCCCCAGATTCCCTCCCGAAGGAAGGCATCGGATGGATAACCCCCCCCATTGGCCCACAAATAAAACCTGAGTGGGGGAGTCTAGCAGGGAATAGCCCAGAACCCTCTGTAATCCACTCCAAAAAAACGCCACCTGAGGCGGGTTCGGGAAGAAAGACCTCCCGAATCCTCCACTTCCCCCAACACGAATCCTGAGGGGGCGTCCAGGGGGAAGACCTCCCCAAATCCCCCAATCCTACACATAAAAATGCGAGTGGGTTGTATGAAAGGAACTCATCCGCTAATCCCCCAAACCCAAAAACCTCCCCGTAGGAGATGTTCTGGAAGAAAGAACCGTGCCCCCGGCATCTCCCACAAAAAAACACCTTGATGGGGTGTCCAAGAGAAAACCTTCCAACCACCCCCAAACTCCCCGAAAATCTCTCTTGAGGTGAGGGGGCGAACAATCTCTCTCTCTCTCTCTCTCTCTCTCTCTTTTATTTATATACAATACAATACATATAGGTGTGAATATGTGTATTCGCACATTCCGGAACAGCACAAACCCTAACCCCCTAATCCTCCCGAGTTCCCCCCACCCCCACTCCCTGCGGGGGGGCTTCAGGGGGGAGGGGGGGGGGGAAACGACCCAGCCTAACTCTCCCGAGAACCCCCGTGACAGGGGGTCCAAGAAGAAATAATCCGAAACCTCCCAATAGCAAAACAAAACAAATTCTCTAAGAGCTTCCGGGGAAAAAATCCGAACGCCTCCTTCAAACCCCAAAAAATATTGAGAGGGGGGAGGGGAGGGGTCGGGGGGGAATCCTCCACAACACCGTAGCTCACCCAGGAAGCCCTTTGAGAGATGGTTCTGGGGGATACCCCCTAAACTCCCCACCCCCCCAAAAAAACAGAAAACACTCAGGGAGAGCTCGGGGAGGAGAACACCCCAACCCCCCCGAGCCCTCAACCCCCAACCCCCCGACCCCCCCCTCCAAACTAAAACTTCTGAAGGGGGTCTGGTGGGAAACCTCTCCCCCCCCCTCTCAACAAAAAAACGCCCTGGGGGAGGGAAAACCCCCTAATAGCCCCCCTTATAGCCCCCCCGAAAAAAAACAGCCCCAAAAACGCCTAAGAGGGGGGGATCCGGGATGAACCAGCCTAACCCACCTAGCCCTCCCAAAACCCTTCTTTATTAGGGAGGGTGTTTTTGAAGAAAAACTCCTCTAACACCCGCCCCCCCCGACCTTCCTTGAGAGGGGGTGTCCGGGGGGAGAACCCCCTCGGTGTTTTCCAGAGGGGGGGGGTCTGGGAACTGCTACGCTCTGCCACACGGGGGTGTATCGCGGTGTTTCCTTCCTGTCTCTGAGCGGCCGGACTTTTCGGGCGACACTCCGGGATTGGGGGCAAGGAGTTGCCTGCGAGCGCCGAACGCAACCAGATCCATGCCCTGAGGAAGCGGCCAGGGCGTCCGAGCTGAATGGGCCCCGAGAAAACTTGTCGAGACGGGGGGAGCAAGGGCAAATCCTATCGAAATCGATGCCTGGGACCTCCGGGGCAGGTTTTCACCCTGGACCCGTTCTTGACGGCCCCGCGGGGCCAGCACGGCCCCGAAAGAGCGAAAAAGGCAACAAAACCCATTACGCCAGAGAACATCCCCAATCGGTGGATTGTTTGAAAATTAATGACATGGACATTGGGATCGATTGTAGGATCGATCGTGAAATCGAAAATGGGATCGATAGTGCGGACGATAGTAAGGCCGATCGTGAGACCGATAGTGAAGTCGATTCAGTGAGATCGATAGTGAGATCGCTCCTGCGATCTATAGTCAGATCGACTGCTCCCCAATACGTGCTAGCACTGAAGGAGTCCCAGCGGATCTTGAAGAATTTGGCGAAAATAGGCGGCCGATTTCGGTAGGCCCCCGGGTTCCTGGGTTCCCGGTTCCGGGTTCCTGGGTTCCCAGTTCCAGGATCAGGGCCGATTTCGCTGGGCGGCGGGGTTCCCAGGTTTCCGGGCTCAAGGTCAATCGTCTCATCGATCGGTCTCACCATCGATCTCATGACCCACCTCTCTATCGATCTCACGAACGATCTCGATATCACAATCGATCTAACTATAGATCGGACGAGCGATCTCACGATCAATCTCACTGAATCGACTTCACGATGGGTCTCACGATCGGCCATACTATCGGCCTCACTATCGATCCCACCTTCGATCTCACGATCGATCCTAGAGCCGATCTCAATGTACATATCATTAATTTTCAAACCATCCACCGATTGGGCTCTTCTCCAGGAAAAAAGGAGTCGATAGTGAGATCGATAGACGTGGGAGATGAGATCGATGGTGAGACCGATCGAGAAGGAGATCGACCAGGAACCCAGGAACCCAGAAACCTGGGAACCCCGCCACCCAACGAAATCGGCCCGGAACCATGGAACCGGGGAACCCGGGATCGGAAACCCAGGACGCTGGCGGCCCACCGAAATCGGCCGCCCCATTTCGGCAAATCCTTCAAGATCCGCGAGAACCCCTTCAGTGCAAGCACCGATTGGGGAAAGAAGAAAAACTCTCGAACCCAGAATCTTGAAGCTCCCCGTCTTTTCCTGGCCGGAGCCAGGCGCTGCGCCACCTCGACCACGAGAGGTCCACTTGCCCTCGAGGCCCGTCCCGTGGCGGCGACTCGATGCGTGAGGTTGCATTTCGCGCGGGGCGGCGTCCCCATGCCCAAACAGCCGCCGCGTATCCGTGGGGCCGCGGCAGGGTGAGACCGCGAGGCCGTGGATGCGGATGTGCTCGGACTTCTGTTGGCCGCAGCGGCGTGGATCCACGCCGTGGTCGGAGGCAGCCGAGAGGCACTACGGGGCCGAACTGGGCACGGCAGGAGGGGGGCGGGCGCGGATGGACCAGGGGGAAGCCCCATGCGGCGGAGCCCGCTCAGAGCGTATAGTTATTGCGCGTGTGTGCTGGAGCACAGGTTTGCTTGTGCAGCAGGCTGTCGAACGATATGCCCAAGCATGCGGCGTCTCGATATCCCACCACATCCTAAGTGGGGGGTTCTTGCGCCTCCACCTCCTCCCTCACTCCCGCTTCCTTGCACCCTCTCATCACACTGATGCTTCATGGAAGTCCCGACCCTTCCACAGATATGCGATGCCCTGTTTCGTTCAATCACTGCAGCGACGAGGAACAGATGTTCAAGCTGCCCAATATCGCCTGAGCCACGTCTCTCGACATCACGCGAGTCATAACAGGCAACAAAAACTGAAGCACCGCAGCTCCGGCTCCGCCGCAACCGCTGCAACTGGGGGAAGAAGAGCGATACATCTCTTGCCGCCGGGGGGCGGTGTTCCCCCCCCCCCCCCCCCGAGAGAGATAACGGGGGGTGTCCTCTCCTCATCACTCCTGGGCTGCATTCGGCGGTTCCTGGAAGTGCCGACCTCACCCCCAGGGCAGGATTTTCATCCCCAAATCCTGGGGCCCAACGAGGGCGATGACGGGGGGAGTCCTCTCTTCATCACTCCTGGGCTGCATTCGGCGGTTCCTGGAAGTGCCGACCTCACCCCCCGGGCAGGATTTTCCTCCCCGAGTCCTGGGGCCCAGCAAGGGCCCCCGGAGGTCGATGACGACCAGAAGCCTCCCGTCGCGTTGGTGTTCCACGACGCGAGCACGTCTCCCCGCAGGCGCACCCCTCTGCAGTAGCTGCAGCCCAGAGAGCACTGGCCAAGTGGGGGGAGGGGCAACTTCGTTCAAAGTCGTTCCCTGGATCATCTTCCCCCCCTGGCTTCAAACTGACGAGGTCTTCAAGCCGCGTCCAGCCAGCTGTGGCGACGAGGAATGCCCTCTCCCTCCTTCCTGCTGGCCGGAACCGATGCTGGGCCACCTCAGCCCCCCAGCCGGCTCCAAACTCCGCCAGCCGACCTCGTTGCAGTAGAACGTGCCCGGGTCCCTGCTCCAGAGCTCGCCCGCCTCTGCGAAGCGGGCCCGCGGCGCCGCCTCGCGCAGCCGCCGGAGGGACAGCCACCCGATGTTCACGGTGGTGGCCAGCAGGTGCTCAGCCCCAGGCACCGCGGGTCCCCCCTCGTGAGCATCGCTCAAGCGACCCGTATCCCCACTGGCGTGACCTTGGCCCCACTGGCCGACTTACTCACCTAGGTGGTAATGAGGCGGCCCCTTTTGCACGCCCTCCCGAGAGCATGGTGGCGTTGTGGCATTGTCACACTTGATCTTCGCCGATGTTACAGAGCAGCAGTGTGCGAGACTGTGCGAAGTTAAGATACGGTTCCATTGTGGCATTTAATATGGCACGTTGCCACACCAAAATGAGCGACACATTGCGACGTTGTGCCATTATGGCGTTGCTTCTGGGGCCGTTCTCTCGCCACAGCGTCGCAATGCAGTGCGACATTGTGACGTTGCTTCTTGCTTTTCTTCTCACACTGTCACGACGCGCCAGACGTAGAGGCACCGTGATGTTGTGACAGTGCGTCTGGGCCAACACCACAATATCACCATCTCACCGCGTGCTAAACATTGTGTCGGTGAGGGTCGGGCTGGTGGGGCTGAGGAACCAGGGGCCCCGTGGGGATGGGGATAACGCAGACGATGCCGACCTTGGGCGCGTCGCCGTCAATCGCCTGGACGTTGGCCGCGGCCACCTCCAGCTTCAGGCCCTTAGCCGAGTCCTCCAGGCCCATGTGGAACACGGCGTGGTACGGGAGGCTCCCGTTCGCCTCCCACGCCCGCCCCAGGTGATCCGTGGTCCACGTGGCCCCCGACCTCGGATCCAGCCCCCGGGCAGAGGAAGCACGGCTCAGAGCCCCGCCAGCCCGATGCACTGACGGTGGCGCGCCAGATCAACGGCACCTCCTCCTCCTCCTCCTCCTCCTCCTCCTCCTCCTCCCCCTCCTCCTCCTCCTCCTCCTCCTCCTCCTCCTCCTCCTCCTCAACCTCCTCCTCTCCTCCTCTCCTGCTCCTCCCTCCTCCCTCCTCCCTCCTCCTCCTCCCTCCTCCTCCTCCTCCTCCTCCTCCCCCTCCTCCTCCTCCTCCTCCTCCTCCTCCTCCTCCTCATCCTCCGCTCCCGCCCTCCCTGGCCCGTTCCGCTCCGATCGGGTCCCCCCCGGCCCCTCCCTGGCACCACATCGGCTCCTCCGCGCCGCGCGATGCCGAGGCGACGAGGGCCCCAACACCCAAGATGAGGAGCAGGGGGAGGAGGAGGAGGAGGAGGAGGAGGAGGAGGAGGAGGAGACGAGCGTAGAGAACGAGTCAATTCGACACACCTTTAATCTAACCAAATCCGCCGCCCTCGGAGAGAGCAGAAAGCGAGGGCGAAGCCCCACGAATATCGCAGCATACCTGGGACGCTCCCGAGGCACGCGTGGACAAAGAGAACGTAGTACAGAGTCCAGTCGAAGATGAAGTCCGCGCGGACCGATGATGTTCGGCAGTGTGGCGTGCTAGTTCGTCTGCCAGATCAGCGAGAGCCGTGCTGCAGCAGCGAAGGTGAAGCAGCTCAGCGCGACGCAGGAAGGGCGTACCAGGAACAGCCCAGTCATATTCACCAGGTTCTGCATGTATCTCAGCATGGTCTTGGCCCAGGCCACGCGGATCATCACGCCAGCAGAACAATACATCAGGAGGTTGTGCTTCATCATGCTGTGGGTTAGCGGGCGGTGCATGCCAGTGTACGGGCTCATTATGGAAGAACTCCTCATGCAGAAGATCGTCAAATTCCGAGTGGTTATCCACCATCACATCAGCAAGGGGCCGCTCGCCACACTGCGGCTCATCATGTTGAGGTCCAGCGGGCAGTGCGTGCGATTGGACGGGCTCGTCCTGAAGAAGCCCTTCATGTATAGTATCATCAATGACTGCCTGCCCCCAGGATTCTCCATCTACCATCGCGTAAACCTCAGGCGCGCTGTGACCAGCAGCACGGGCGTGCCACAGCGCCGCCGACAATGACGGGGTACCTGCATAGCTGTGGAAATGATTGGACAGGCGGGCATGTTCATCAGCAATCGCATGATCAGACACCTCCGAAAGATGTGAGTACGTGCACTCGTCACCGCGAGCACATCGAGGAAAGAAACGGCAAGCAGGACGGGTCGCTATCCTCGGACCCACCTCCAAGACCTTCAAGCAGTGGAAATCGACAGCCTTGGACGGCGAAGCCTCAGCACAAACATGCTCACGCAGAACGGCTTCGGCAAAGTCCTCGTTGAGCTCGGGGCCGTCACACTCGGCGGAGAAAGCCGAGGCAGCGCGAGGGGCGCCAGAGTAAGAACCATCACCATGTAGAGGCAGAGAGCCGCAACCAGAAGCAGCGGGCGCTTGCCCCGTGCAAACAGCGGCGACGTCTGCACCAACACGCAGGTCAGCAGCCGCAGCTCCCTGAAGACCCAGCCGAAGATCGCGCTGAGCATCTCCATCACCGTGTGGATCGAAAACACCAGGAGGAAGAAGATGAACGCCACCAGCAGCAGCGGCCGCACCAGCGCGAGCATGCTCACGCAGACCGGCTTCATCAGATGCCTCGGCCAGGTCTGAGACAGCGGCCTCAGCAGGAGAAGAAGTATCACCACGGGGGTCGCGATCAGAGTCACCTTCCGCATCCCGCGCTCTACCAGAACGAACTCCATGAGGAACGGCAGCTCCGCCAGAAGCATGTGGTGGTAGATAATCTGCAGGACGACGAGGGGCAGGCCATTCACGGACCGCTTTCTCCTCGAACACGCAGAACTCGGATTCGAAGTCCAGGTCATGCACGAAAGACGTGTGGGAATCGCGACTCGACGAAGGGCACGGAGGAACTTCACTAAATGTCTGCTGGCCCAACGGAGCCGGCACAACACTCGCCGCAGACATTTGGGCAGCAGCCGCGACGTCCGTGCCCCCGAGGTCGTATCCCGGCGGGGAGTGGGACAAGTAGCACATCAGTTCAGGCAAAGCCTCAGCGTTGACCACACCTATGGGGATCAGGGGCGGCTGGGGGTACGGCAGGGACAAGAAGCCCGACGGGCGCAACATCGTCAGCAGAGTTACGGCCACCTGCAAAAGCGCTGCCACGGCAGCATCCAGCGGCAGCGCCGCAGCGCGCGGCCCAGGAGGGCCCAGCGCAGCAGCGAGGGAGATAGGCGTCGCACCAGTCCGCGCAGAAGCAGCTTGTGGTAGCGGTACGCGGTGTTTGAGGCGTCCGTACCGTCGATTCTCACGGTGCAAATGTGGAAGAGCTTCAGGGGGTAGGAGTGGAGCAGCAGCACCAATAGCCTGGCGCAACGTGTGAGTAGGTTTCCCACCAATTCCTTGCAAGTGACTGTGTAGCTGGAGACCGCGAAGGACCCCACGGGCGTGCTCATGAAGTTCCGCAGGAACACGAACATGGCGATGACCAGGAAGACGCCTCACAAGAAAGCCGAGCTCGAGAGCGCGACGAGCGCGCCGAGCACGGGCAGAAGGCGACCGACAGTGCGGCATGACGTCACCGTGTCCAGCGACAGCAGCAGCCACCAGCCAGCAGGCGGCGGCGAACGCAACACATTGCATGCATGGACGCGCGGCGCGTGCGGGGCCGCAACCTAGCATGGACTTGAGCCAAAATGGCTACGGAGGAGGAGGAGGAGGAGGAAGAGGAGGTGGAGGAGGATCAGCAAGAAAAATATCCTTAACCCTGTGGGAGGGGACTTCAGTTAGGAGGGCCAAAACATTAGGGATAAAAGGTCTTCCCCGCAGATGTATCGTACCAAACCGCTCGGATTAATTTTCCCGAATGCGAAGACGGGGACCTAAGTGAGGCCACGTCTTCACTGTGATATTAGGGTTAAGGGGTTCGTTTATTCTCGATGAGAGGAGGAAGAAGATGAGGATGAGGAGGATCAGAGAAGGAGGAGGAGCGACACTGGCCAGCAAGCAAAGGGCGGACACGAAAATAACGTCGATCCGAACAGAGAATACAAAAACAATGTAGAAGATGACATCCGCTGCCCTTCAAGAGGGCGATCCCGACCTGGGATAGCAAGGTCAGAGACGACAGACTAATAGCGAACGCCCGCGTTTCCGCCCAAGAGGGAAGCCTATTTGCGAGGAGGAGGAGGATGAGGAGGAGGAGGAGGAGAAGGAGGGGCAGGAGGACGAGGAAGACGAGGAGGACGAGGAGGAGGAGGAGGAGGAGGTGGGGTCCAGCCCAGCCCAGTCCGCTTCCAGGAGGCACGGCCTGCAGCACGCATGTACGTCGTGCCTACTGCCTCTGCGCGCCGCTTCCGCGGCAGTGGGCACCTCGCATGGGAGTCGTGCGCGGGCGCCCGTGTGGCAACTCGAGAACGGTTTGCGCTGCCTCTTTCCAGGAACAGGAGCAGGAGGCAGAGGAGGGAGGGAGGAGGGAAAAGGAGGAGGAGGAGGAGGCTCAGAGAAGGCGCGCCTCGGCCAGGGCGCCGCGCCGCGCGCGGCGCGGGCTTCGCGGGCGGGGGCGCAGGGAACGGCCGATGCCGCTGCGAGAAAGGAGGAGGAGGAGGAGGAGGAGGAGGAGGAGGAGGAGGAGGAGGAGGAGGAAGACGAGGAGGAGGAGGAGGAGGAGAAGGAGAAGGAGGAGGAGGAGGACGAGGAGGAGGAAAAGGAGAAGGAGGAGGATACGGCACTACCTGGGAGCGTCGCGCGGTGCGCCATACGCCCACGAAAGAATGAGAGGGGGCAAGCCCCCCCCCCCCCCCTCGCGAGCCCGACAGCCGCCACGCCCCCACCGCGAGGATCACGGGGCGAGGCGCGGGCGCAAGGAGAGAGAAACAGCTCTGGCACAAGGGTCAGCCAAGAGCATTCAGGTGTGCGGCATCACCTGGGGCGGCGCTGGGCGCTACCCTCCAGGCTGTGCCCCCCTTAGTGCAAGGGGAGTCCACCGAAGCCACTCCCTGAAGGAGGTATGTGGCGTCACCTGGGACTGCACAGCTCGTGCTATCCTCCAGGCCGCGCCTTCCGTAAGACGCGAAAAAAACCACTGAAGGCACTCCCTCGAGAAAGAGAGAGAGAGAGAGAAAGAACAGGCGCAAATTCTCTAACGTGCGATGCATCAGGGACAGCGGCCAGGTCGTTCTCATCCGAAGTGTGCGCTATGAGCCCGATGGTCTCGTTCGCAGCCGCCTCCCAAGCCCTTTCCAGGGCGGCGAAGTCGAAGAGGGAGGAAACGGGTTGAACGTCTGCTCCAGTGCCGTCCAGAAGCGAACAGGAATCCACAGCAGCGCCTCCGCGACGAAGACCACGAGCATGAGCGCCAGGCCCATCAGCAGACGCGCCCGAGAACACGCGCCCGCGAGGCCCAGGAATGGGGCGGAGAGAAGGCCCATCACCACGTCCGAGACCACTGCGGCGAATATCACCATCGCAAGGTAGAACTCCAGCTCGCACGGCAACCAATCCAGACAACATGCGACCACGAGGTCCAGGCACGGGACGTGGCCCAGCGATGTGATGAAGGGCCGCAGAAGGCGCAGCCGCACCGCCAGGACCGCTACGACGATGCAGAGCACCAACCTTGAAGACGCGCCCAGGAGGTCCAGGTAGTGGCCGAGGAACGCCATGCCAAGGTCGCGGGCCAAAAACTCGCCCACGCGGCCCAGGAACTGGGCGAGGAGGTGCGCCATCAGGGGTCCATGATCGGCGTCGACACGAGCACCACGCCCATATTGCGGGCACCCTTCGTCGCATCGATGAACGGCCTGAGAATCATCAGCTGCACCTCCAAGAGGAAAGACCTCATGGACTCCGTCACCCACATCAGGGCGATGGTCACCGAGAAAGCCACAACGTGGGACAGCAGTAGCACGGCCAGCGCGAGCAGTACCAAGAACCGCGGCTCCAGGAACGTCACACCCACGATCCGTAGCAGCGCCACTGCCCGACAAGCACGAGGCAAGGTCGTCGGAACCGTCGATGTCAAGCGAGACGAGAGGACCAGCAGGGTAATATGCGGCAGCCTGGCTACGAAGGGGCGTGCGCACCGTAGCGGCGGTGCGGATCCGTTGCGCTGCCGAGTTGGCCCCTGCGGCCGCGGAGAGGCTGGTGAGCGTCTCCAGGGTGTCCATGCGTGGAGCCCCGTCCACAGGCGACGTGTCCGGGTCCCTCGGCTGCAGCAGGGCAAAGATGGCGCCCGCCGCTGCCTGCGCATGGCGCGCCGCCGTGCACCGCGCCCTGGCACGGCGAAGGGCAGCTCGGGACAGCGAGGCCGCATAGGAAGGCGACGCGTGCGCTGTCGACATGAATCGCATCAACAGCTCCCGGCGAGGCCAGGGGCAGCCGCGGGCGCGCCAAGGGAGAGGCCTGGCGCTGGGGGCATTGGCACGGCGGGCGCCCGCCGCGGGGCAAACAGCTGCGGTGCCCGCGCCAAACCACCTTGAGCCAAAATGGCTACGGAGGAGAAGGAGGAGGAAGAGGAGGAGGAGGAGGAGGAGGAGGAGGAGCGCCAATCCAAGCAGGGGGAAAGGCGGGCCAGCAGCAGGAGCAGCGAGGCGTGTAGAGCCCCCTCACATCTGCAGTCAGCCTGGACATTGCACGCGCAGGCACCCTCATGGTACCATCAACGGCTCTGGTCCCACGGAGGCCGTTGCCTCTCATGCTTCGCTGAGTGCTACGCAGCAAGCCGAGGGCAACAACCGCAGAACACATCTCACTGTTAGCAAAGAGATCGGGGTGCATCCTGGAATAAGCTGCTCGAAAAACGGACCGCCACCCCAGCCATGATCCAAGAGGGGGACGAGGGCTCTCACTATGGGCACAATCATCGGGCACACCACGTAGTGGTCCAGAGCGTCACCACCAATATGTTGGCATCCCCGCATGCATCCGAACGTGCCTCCACGGTACCTCCTACTCGTGTTCCGTCCATTACATATCGTCTTCATCGTGTTGTGTACATGTATTCGTGGAAGCTTGCCGGCAACGAGCTGCAGGCGGATGAAAGTGAGCTGCGCAACGCTCAAGGACAGCTCGGACACCCAGTACCTCAGCCTAGGGAGCAGCAGGTGCATTGGGCTCACATCTGAAGATGCGTGCAGGACTCGATCTACTTTCCCTTGGAATCCAGCGGCTCAGGGATCCGTCGGAAGTCCACGAAGAGACGCGAGTGACCTCATCGTCCTCCGAAGATGCATGAAGATGAACTTCAGAAACAGCGGGTTCCGTTCATGGGTTACCGATGCCTCACCACATTCCACCAGATCATCATACACCTCCTAGGAGCTCACGAAAGACAGCATTCTTCTAAGAAGTGCCGCGGGCGGTAGCCTTGGCTAGGAGGAGGAGGAGGAGGAGGAGGAGGAGGAGGAGGAGGAGGAGGAAGAGGAGGAGGAGGAGGAGGAGGAGGAGGAGGAACATCATCGATCCCTGCTCGACGCAGAGGGTTCAAGGCCTTCCTGGGCCCTGGGCCGGTTCACGGGCAGCACCACGGCGTGCCAGCAGACCGTGAGCAAGACCTCCTCGGCGGGGTCCGCCCGCCCCGGCTCTGGCCGGATGACGACGGGCAGGCACCTTCGGGCGGGCTCCAGCTCCTCCTCCTCCTCCTCCTCCTCCTCCTCCTCCTCCTCCTCCTCCTCCTCCTCCCCCTCCTCCCCCCCTTCTGTTCCTCTCTCCTCCTTGCCTGTCTCTTTCCCTCCTCCCTCCTCCTCCTTTCCTCCTCGCCTTCCCCTCCGTCTTCCTTACCTCCTCCCTCCTACCTTCGCTACATATCCTTCCCTCCTTCTCCCTTAGCCTCACTCTTCTTTATCATCTCATTATCCTCCCCTCCTCCCCCCCTCCTCCTCCTCCTCCTCCTCCTCCCCTCCTCCTCGTCCTCGTCCTCGTCCTCCTCCTCCTCCTCCTCCTCCTCATCATCATCATCATCATCATCATCATCATCATCACATCATCAGCATCATCAGCATCAGCATCAGCATCAGCATCAGCATCATCATCATCATCATCATCATCATCATCATCATCATCATCATCATCATCATCATCATCATCATAATCATCATCATCATCCCCACTTGCCTCCCTCCCTCTACTGGAGCACAGTACCTGCCAAAGTCATCGTCGCGCGGGCGCCTCCTTCCCCCCTTTCCTCCTATCTCCTCCTTAACCTCTTCCTTCCCTCCTCCTCTTCTCTTCCTCCCTCCTCCTCCTTTTCTGCCTCCCGAAGTCTGGTGCGCCGACGCGGGGGGTGCGGTCCAAGGCACGTGCGCGAGCAGACTCGGTGAAGCCCCGTACGGGCCACGAAACGTGCGAGGGGTCTGCCGAAATAGGGCGGGTACCGACGTGAAACCTGCCACTGGGGCCCTCGGTGGGGCTCCCCATGAGGCCACGAACCGTGTGAGGTGTCTGCCGAAATGGTCCTGGACACGCATGCAAGCACTGCCACTGGAGCCTTCGGTGGAGCTCCCAAAGGGGAAATGAAGGTGTGAGGGGTCTGCCGGAATGGGGCGGCTACTCATATGAACCCTGCCAGAGGGCCCTCGGTGGGGCCCCAAATGGGACCACGAAACGTGTAAGGGGTCTGCCGACATGGGGCGGGTACCCATATGAACCCTGCCACTGGGGCCCTCGGTGGAGCCCCTTATGAGGGCCACGAAACCTGTAAGAGGTCTGCCCAATTTGGCCGGGTAAATATGTAAACCCTTCCGCTGGGGCCCTCGATGGAGCCTCTTATGGGGACATGAAGGTGTGAGGGATCTGTCGAAATGGGCCTGGTACTCATAGAAACCCGATAAGAGGATGAGGCCCTCTGCACTGGCAGAGCCGTCGCTGGGGCCTTCGGTGGAGGTCCCCAGGGTAGTACGGACCGTGTGAGGGGTGTGACGAACATGGACTGCGAATGATCAGGGTGGTGATTGATACCAAGATGATGATGCTGACGAGAATGAGAAAGAGGAGGAGGAGGAAAAGGAGAGGAGGAGGAGGAGGAGAGACGCGCGGCGCTGCGAATTCAAACCGAGCACCCAACTCCGCAGGAGCGCTGGGAATAAATCAGGGGGGGCAGAAACACGCAAACCGCCTGACACCCCCCCAATCTGAGCGTGAATCCTGGAGTTCCCACCCCTGGCGGCTCCCCCTTGGGGTGCTCAAGTGCCACGTCTGTTATGTCGCGGTGGGCAATGGACCACCAAATGAAAGCAGAATCAGGCAACCCGCCTGAGACATCTTCACCACAAACAGGCAAACGGCCTGAGACATCCCAACAATCTGGGCGCGTATCCCGGAGTGTCATGAACCGTGGCGCCCCCCATTTAGGGTGCTGAAGCCAGCGCCTCGCCTGAGCCATCCCAAGAATCTGCTCCGAAAGCATAAGATGCTGGACACGCAAACAAGCAAGCCGCCTGAGACATCCCCAAAATCTGGGCGCGAATCCTGGAATGTCCTGACCCGTGGCGCCCCCCTTTAGGGGTGCTGGAACCAGAGCCTCGCCAGAGACATCCTCCGAATCTGCTCCGAAAGCAGAGGATGTCGGGGCACGCGGACAGGCAAACCGCCTGAGACATCCCCACACTTTGCGCGCGAATCCTGGAGTGTCCTGACCCCTGGCGCCCCCTCCTTGGGGTGCCCCAATGCTACGCCTGCTAAATCACGGCGAGCATTGGACGGACCACCAATGAGCATGGGTAAGTCTGAGTCTGAGGAGTGCGACCGTGAATTAGTCTGGAAATGCGTGTCCGAGAGTGTGCGGGTCTAAGTGTGAGTGAGTCTGAGTATGAGTGAGTCTAAGTGGAATCAATCTGTATATGAATGAATATATAGCGTCTGAGTATGAATGAATCTGAGTGTGAGTGCGTCAGCGTATGAGCAAGTGAATGAGCCAAACTGATTGCGGAAGAGGAAGACGGGGAGGTGAGGAGGAGGAGGGAGAGGAGGTTTCCTCGGAGCCGTCTGAGTAATTACGCTACCGAGGAACCCCACATATTTAATTATGGCTGGAGTGCTGATAGCTGAGGTGAAGCATGTGAGAATGATGTTGGTGACCGTTGCCCCGCCGATACCGTCGGTGACGCCACTCAGGAGGAGAGGTGGCAGAGGAGAAGCGCCGCGCCAGCCACACTGTGCGAGCCCGACACGGATAGCGACCGCACCCCCAAGGCACCCCCTTGTGGCGTCGAGAAAATGCCACGCCTGCCACGCTTTGCGAGCCCGCAACGGACAGGGAGACCACCCCCAGCGCACCCCCTGTGGTGTCGAGGAAGTGCCACGCCTGCCACGCTTTGCGACGCCGCAACGGATAGGGAGACCACCCCCAGCGCACCCCCTGTGGTGTCGAGGAAGTGCCACGCCTGCCACGCTTTGCGACGCCACAACGGATAGGGAGACCACCCCCAGCGCACCCCCTGTGGTGTCGAGGAAGTGCCACGCCTGCCTGTGGTGTCGAGGAAGTCCCACGCCTGCCACGCTTTGCGACGCCGCAACGGATAGGGAGACCACCCCCAGCGCACCCCCTGTGGTGTCGAGGAAGTGCCACGCCTGCCACGCTTTGCGACGCCGCAACGGATAGGGAGACCACCCCCATCGCACCCCCTCCGGTGTCGAGAAAGTGCCACGCCTGCCAAGCTTTGCGAGGCTGCAACGGATAGGGAGACCACCCCCAGCGCACCCCCTATGGTGTCCACAAAGTGCCACGCCTGGTATGCCTGGACGACTGGGGCGTGCTGTGCTGTGCTGGCCTGTGCTGCGGTCTGCTGTGCTGCGCTGTGCTGTGCTGTGCAATGCTGTGTGTGCGGTGTGCTGTGTGTGCTCGTGTGTTTGTGTGCTGTGTGTATGTGTGCATGTGTGTATGTGTATGTGTGTGTGCTGTGCTGTGCTGTGCTGTGCTGTATGCTGTGTGTGTGCTTTTATGTTTGTCTGTATGTGTATATGCGTGTACATATGTATGTCTGTGTGTGCTTTGATGTGCTGTGCTGTGCTGTGCTGTGGGTCACCCAGGGTGAGGGAGGAAGGAAGAGGAGGGGGAGTAGGAGGTGGGAGTCGCGGGCGCGGCGCGGCAGAGAAGAAAACCACAACCCCACCAAGCATGTGGGGAATAACAAGCATGGGGAAAAACAACAACCCCATCACAGGCTACGGCAAAAAACTAAATTTGCATGCGGAGCTTTCTGCAACTGGTCAACGCTGGCAGCGTTCAGCACCCGCGAGCCACTACCGGGCGGTGGGACCGTCGAGAGACGGCAAATGGAAGAGCCAGCCCGCGGGAAGGTCTCTAGACCTCGGGTGGCCCACGCTGTGAACAAAACACAAAAAAAACATGTCGTCGAGGGGGGCCTTGGCCTCCTCCTCCTCCTCCTCCTTCTCCTCCTCCTCCTCTTCTTCCATCTGATTCTCCTCCTCCTCCTCCTCCCTCCTCCTCCTCCTCCTCCTTCTCCTCCTCTCCTCCTCCTCCTCCTCCTCCTCCTCCTCCCCTCCCTCCTCCTCCTCCTCCCCTCCTCCTCCTCCTCTCCTCCTCCTCGCCTCCTCGTCCTCCTCCTCCTCCTCCTCCTCCTCCACCTCCTCCTCCTCCTCCCCCTCCTCCTTCTCCTCCTCCTCCTCCTCCTCCTCCTCCTCCCCAGCATGTTTTGCCTGGGGCCTCGTACGCGCCAGAGCGACGATCCGAAAAAGAAGATGCCGCTGACAGGCTTCATCCCATCGGCCTCGCATTCAAATCGTACTTCTCCTCCTCCCTCACTCCTGCCTCCCTCCCCCTTCTCCACCTCCATCCCCTGGCGCCGCCTGGAGCCCAAGGCGCGGGCCACCGCCTGACGGAGTGCGAGGGGAGGGGGCAGGAGGAGGAGGAGGAGGAGTGTATGTAACAAGCCTCGAGCCTATTCCTACCTGTACGACCAGCCTTCGGGTGATAAGAAGGTTGAAGGAGGGGGAGGGGGCAACTGATTACAACTGCAGTGGTTGTGATGGTGACGACGCTGGCGACAACGAGTTCGCAACGACGCACGACGACGATGCTGGCGATAATGCATGATGGCGATGCACGGCGGCGACACTAGTTACAATGTGTGTGGTGGTGGCGATGCGTGGCGGCGATGCTTGTGATGAGCAGGGAATCGCAAACGGGCAGCGCGTAATAGTAGCAGTGCATCGAACAACGTTGGCGAAGACTGGCTAACTGCACAACCCATCCGCGATGGCGCACTCACACTCACCACTGCAGTCGCAGGCAAATACATGCCACCTCCATTGCTGGAGGTGGCACTTATTTGCCCGAGAGCGCGCCATATGGTCCCACACTCGGGTCACCCATCGAAAAGCATCCGGGCTACCAGCGGAACCAAGTGGCATTCATTTGCCTGGGCGCTCATCTTTTTTAAAGCAAGCATACTAAGAACATAAGGTCGCCAAGCATCAGAGGACACCGCGGAAAACCACTATCGATCCCAGTATCGATCTCCCTCTATCGGCCGAGACCGCTATCTATCGATCTCACCGTCGATTTACGTTCGATTCCACTCTAGATATCACAATATATGGGTGTGTATCTACATATACATGTATAACTAGAAATGGTTTTCGATCTCACTTTGGACCTCTCTATCTATCGAACTCGCAGTCGAACTCGCCATCGAGCTCACGTTCAGTTAATCTCGACCACACTATTGATCTCACTCTCAATCTACCTATCGAGATCACGATCGATGCCCTTATCTATCGGTCTCACTATCTATCGATCACACGGTCGACCTAACTATCAATCTGACGGTCGATCTGACGATCGAATTGTCCATCGATCTCACTATCGATCACACAATCTATCTCGCTCACTCGATCGAACTCAATCGATCTCCCTATTGATCCCACTCTCGACCTACACGGGACATCACGGGACACCGCGGGGCACCGCGCCACGGGACACCACGGGACACTACGGAGCACCAAAAGACATCGGCGGGACACCCCTGGGCCACCGCCGGCCAACCAAGGGGAGGAGAGACAGTGAGCCCGGTTTCGCCCTAGCCAGAGCGGGATCATTCCTCTCGCCGCCCACGCAGCTTAGCCTCGCCCGCACGCGCGACACGAATTCGAAACTGACTTCCCGGTGCGGGGCTCTCCGTTTCACTGTGATTTCACCCCCCATCCTCTGATCCTTAAGATTGAAAAGCCAAGCGTCGGTGACAATCTCAAGGATGCGCCCTCAGAAACTGAAGATAATCTTAAGACCGGCATCGAGACAAGGCGAGGCAAATCATAGGGATAGGGATGTTTCCCAAGCTGGCAAATCGGCGCACGGCCACACTCCCTTCCGCGCCATGCTGCTCGAGCATAGGCACCGAGAGTGGCGTCGGCATGTACCGACAGTTTTGACGCGCCATGAGGTTGCCTGGTCAGCTCAATGTGTAGCGTCGCGGCAGTGGCACTGCCCCGCGCTCTCGAGCCGCGATGGCGGCCAGCGGGCGCGCGGGGTCCTACTCGAGTGGTTGCGGTGCCCGGTGGCGGTGGCGGTCGTGCACTTAATGATCGGCGTCGTTGCAGTCGATGTGGTAGGCGTGGTCCTGCAGTACGCCTCGCACATGTCGCATTTGTAGAATCGAGGATGTTGCGCACCTCGTCGCTATCGCTGCCACAGCATGGTCGGGTGACGCTGGTGGATTGTCATGGCGCGCAGAGTGTGACGACCTGTCGTTGTTGGTCGAGATCATGCGCGCGACGGGCGCGCACGCACACGTGGGATGCGATACCAGAGTGTGATAACGATAGCTGGCATAGCTTGCTTTCCTGACCTAGACCTTGCGCCACCTGCTTTGCATAACTCACTGCAGCGTTCAATACGTGAAAGGACATCCTCGCAATCATAGCGGCCCCAAGAAGCGGAACCGAGCACGTAGTCGCAACATTTCCCGAGACATGAGAGTGAGTAGTCGCAGTGCCTCTCAGGAGATGGGAGCGAGCAGTCGCAGTCAGAGCATGTAACCATGAATACTAAGGCGTGGCCACTATGTCCCCCAAGACAAGGGAACGAATTGGGGTCTACGGGCGAATGGCGTGCCCCTCCTTGGTCGCATGTGGTAGACTGGCGACGGGGGCTAGTTTCGTGCGCACGCGTGTTCAGGCTGCATCAATCATGCTGCTGTTGGCGAGCCAGCGCTGCGCGCCGAGGCGGTCTTGCCTGGCCTCGTTGGCTGATGCTACACTTGAGACTGACGCAGCTCAGCCCCACACGCAGTGGTCGCGCCTGGACTCTCATGCTCGCGTAGGGAATTGGGCATCGTCGATCGCGCGCGCGCAGGTGCGTGCACAACAGCGCCTGGCCAACGCGATCGCGCATTCGCGCGTCAGCTGTGTGAGCAATCGCCTGTCTCGGGTGCTGGCCGAGTCGCGGTCGGCGGGCTGGCGCGCCGAACATTCAGGCAGCGCGGCGCCTTTGGGCGCGAAGTTGCGCCGGTGGCCTGGCGCGAGCGCGCGCGCTATGGATGCGTCTCAGTCGATGGTTGCGGCTCAACCCGCCTGGCTTGCTGGTCGACACGAACCTCGTAATAAGTAGATTGTGGCGCCAGTCGTAATAATAGTTGCTGCGCTCTTCGCCCCGGAAGCCGCAGCGGTGCTCGCGTACGCCGTCAACGCACTCCATACATGGGCGCGGACCGCGTTGTGCCCGTGGTAGTCTTGGGACTCTTTGTAGATGTCCCCCGTCAAGACTCGGCCACATCTGCTGGGGCCGCGCCGCGCGATGGCGCATGCCTCTGCGGTGGAATAGCCGCTGGAAGCAGCTCTCAAGCAGGGCGCGTTGGAAACCTGCGCTGGGCAACTGCGCGAGCCCAGTCGCTGGCGGCGGCCCCTAGGAAGAACCGGCCAAGGCCTCCGCAAGGCAGCGGCGCAAGCCCCGCGGCGGCGCAGCCGCCAGGCGGGGCGCGCCAGAGGCTCAGCTCGCACCCTGGAGCTGCTGGCCTGACTCACGCAGGCCACGAACGACTGGCGCGCCGACGCGATCACAGCTGGTCGCTCTCACTGCCGGCCTTGCGGGCCTGCAACAGATCGCGCTCAGCGCCGGCGCGAAATGCGCCGTGCAGACAGAAACCCGTCAACAGCCAGGAGCACGCGCGCACGCACGGCGAAATGTGCACTCAGTGCCGTCGTCGAAAACTTCTGGCTAGCACGGCGGTGAGAGATCGTCGAAATGCATGGGCGGGCAACCTTCGCATTCCACATCAGCATTTGTAGCTTTGTGTCATGGGTAACTGCGCCAAGTTGCGAGCCGCCATGGCTGTCTTAACTCTGTTGGTTCATTCAACAACGTTGCTCCAACTTCTACTTTGAGCCTGGCTAGGGCGAGGCGGTACAGCTCATAGCGCGGGCGGAAGCATGCGCGGACGCGGCCGGTCCAACCAGCGCGACGCAGAACAGCCCTTGCCAGCGCAAAATGAGTATCCGACGCGCGGGAAGGGAGTCAAGCCTGCCCAGCGACAACCACCGCAACGCATGCCGTCCGCGCTGTCTGATGACTTGCGGCGGCGCTTTGCCCGCAAGTTGTGCGTGGGTCTCGTGGAATGGTGAAACGCAGTCATCGCTCGCCCCGCGGACTCGGCGCTGGGTCCACTTGCCGGCGCGGGCGAGAGAGCTGTTGCGCTGGGCAGAAATTGGCAAGGATCTGACACGGCCCTCCTGCTTCCCAGGATCTGGTCAGACGTGGAATCACGAACATCTTCGCATTGACAATGCGCGCGGTTTTCTGGGCATTAACTCGCGACGGCGCGGCGCTGTCGTCTCCTGCCTGGGAGGGGGCAAGGGACGAATGAAGGCGCTGTGGTAATGCTCCCAGCGAGGACAGGCCCTTTGCGTTAGTGCGCGCGCGTATGGCGGCGCATTCCACCCCTCCTGCAAACGCATGGCGCATGGGTGGGCGGGTCGCAAGACGGCGGCGCGTACGCCACGCCTGCGGCGTGCCAGTTGCGGCGCCGCTAAGGACGGCAGCAGCCGTGGGTCGCGCAGCGCGCGGTGCAACGTGCTATTGAGTCTGCGTCCCTGTGCGCGCGCGCGTCCACGGAGAGTTGCGATTGCTGCTCGTCGGCATGGCCTGCCGAACGCACGCGACAAAGCGGTCCTGCTGGGTGGCCTTGCTGGCTGCGACTCGTCGATGATGGTGAACGTGTCGACTCTCTCCTTGCCGCTGCACGTGAAAGCGGACTGTGGGTTGGCAGGGCTGACGCGGCCCTGCCCCAAAAGTGGTCGCAGCGTGGTGAATGAGGCCGTAGAAGGCGCAGAGTGCTGCTGCTGTGTTCTGCTGGCAGCCGATGCTGAGCATGTCGTCGCCCAGGGTGGCTGCAATGACTTTGGCCAGTAGATGGCATGGCCCACATCTGGACACATGGGCCACAAATGCGCGCTTTCCTTGTTGTTGACCAAGAAACGACCTCAGCCGCCGCGCGAGTCATCAGGGGGATCGCACTGACAACTGCTCACGATAATTGCCGCGTACAGCAGGCAGCGCGCCGCGCTTGAGTGGAGGTCAAAACAGCGGCGTTTAGCAGCGCCTCTCAGGCTTGGCGACTGCAAGTGAAAAGTGCAGCCCTGGCGGGCGTTTGCTGCAGCAGAATGGGCATCCGGCCGGCATCCGCCGCTGCGGGGGGCATCAGGATGGAGGGAATCGTTCAGGGGTGCGCGAAGGGAAAGGCATAGCAGAGGCAGAATTAAGCGGATCTGCGCGAACCGCGGGGTGGCCCTGTCTCGCTCTTCCTTCGCGTGGTGGCCCCCTCTCCGCAGCCTCCTGCTCATTTCTGTCTCCTCGTCCTGACTGTTCTCCGCGTCCTCT